ATTTGGAATATGGGGAAAAAATAGCATGAGCCAACCACAACTGCAGGCTCAAAATTAAGACTTGTAATTCAAAATGTGAGTTGATTGTATTATTTATTTTCTTCTTTGAAAGTTGTGCTTTTTAAAATTTCAGAATATTACGGGGATACAAATGTTTTTGGTTACATGGATCACTTTTGTAATGCTTGAATCAGGGTTATGTGTGTGCCCATAACCCAGATAGTGTTCATTGTACCCATTAGGTAGGTTTTTTGCCCATCCCCTTCTCCCTCAACCCCCCTGCTTGATTGCCACTGAATTTTACTTTGCTTTGTGCACCTGTGTGCTCATCAGTTAGTTCCAATTTAATAGTGAGTACATGTGGTGTTTGTTTTCCATTCTTTAGATACTTCGCTTAGGAGAATGTTCTCCAGTTCCATTCAAATTGTTGCAAAAGGCCTGAATTCATCATTTTTGATGCCCGAGTAGTATTCCATGATACACACATACCACATTTTGTTAATTCATTCATGAATTGATGGGCACTTGAGTTGATTCCACATCTTTGCAGTTGTGAATTGTGCCATGATAAACATTCACATGCAGGTATCTTTTAGATAAAATGTCTTCTTTTCCTTTGGGTAAATATCCAGCAGTGGGATTGCTGGATCTGATGGTAGGTTGACTTTTAGTTCTTTGAGGAATCTCCATACTGTTTCCATAGAGGTTGTACTAATTTTCAGTCCCACCAATAGGGTGCGAGCATTCCTTTCTCTCTGCATCCATGCCAGCATCTGTTGTTTTGGGGCTTTTTAATAAAAGCCATTCTAACTGGGGTAAGGTGCTATCTCATTGTGGTTTTAATTTACATTTCCTTGATGATTAGTGACATTGAGTATTTTTTCATATGTTTTTTGGCCATTTGTCTGTCTTCTTTTGAAAAAACTTCTGTTCATGTATTTTGCCCCAAAAGACAAACAACCCCATTAAGAAGTGAAAGTTGTGCTTTTGGAAATACCATCCCAGAATGAGGTGATCAGTCTTACTTGCCTCACTGTATACCAACTCTCAGTCAACTTAACATTAATATTCACAAAAGTACAGTGCAGTTCAGATCAACGAATCTTTACTGAGTGCATCTTGTAAGGAATATAATCATAGAGGAAGGCGAGATTTTTGCATTGGTTGGAATACAGAGTGTATGAGAAGTGTAATAGCAGAAAAGATTAGAAGTATAAGCTCTCTTGTTGCACTACATGGGTACTATTGAGGGTTTTGAACCCTCAGTGTTTTTAGGTTTTTAGATGGTATCGAGGGACACATTGGCCGACTTGCACTTTTCTGTTTTATTCAAATACTTTTCTTTTAAAGAAAATATAATTAAGTTTATTTTCCATTTGTGTATTTAGCATTTTAATTTACCTAGTAGATATATACTTAGAAACATACATTTTCTCAAATTGTTTAAAATGTGCAGTTATATTTACACCATGTTTTTTCCCTTTTTTATTTCATGATATTATGGGAGTACAAACATCTTGGTTACATGACCTTTTGCTGATGTTCATTTAAATAGGTAATCACTTTCTTAAATGGCAAGTATATTAGTCAAAGTATACTAAACAGCATTACAAAAATATTCTGTACTATTAAACTTCAGTTTTAGGTACCACTTCACTAGAAAATAATAGCACAAAATGTAGCATTAGCTAAGGAAAACAGAACTCTTCATTATAGGCCAGATGGACTCAGGGAATCTGTGTTCTTCACCTTGATTCTTAGGCATAAAGTGAAAGGAAGTTTTAGCAATGTTACTTAAAAGGAGGAGAAGATATTTGCCGTATTCCTAAGGAATGAGTCAGTTGTTATTTAGCCCCCTGTTTAATTCAGGGCCTTCATATATTTAGATCTTTTGTGAGTTGGAAAAATAGCCCAGAGAACAACATAGATGTCATCCTGAATATTACTTTTTTCCCCCATGAATCTAATTAGAGGATTTTTATATCAACGAACCAGTCAGGCCAGTATCAGTATGTAACTGCTGGCATCATTCACTATATTTGGTGAACCCTCCCAGAAGAGCTCAAATGTCAGCTTTTATGGAGAAGAGAAATGATCTCTCCTCTTTTCTCACTGATGTGCTTTTCTCTCCCTCTTCCTTTCCTTTCCTTCTTTCCTTCCCTCTCTTGTTTTTGAACATACACACACCATACTTGTAAACCAAATCATTAAACCCTGTACACTGAGGAGTTGGCCATAGTGTGCTACCAGGTGTAGTTATGAATTAATAATGGCTAGTGGGATCCCAGTATGCATTTTTGATATAGTGAGCCACCTATTGCATTGATAAGCTGTTGATGTATGCAAAAGGGGGCGGGAATCAAAAATCGCTATCAGTTGAAAAATACAGGATCAAAAGTGTGATAATAGGCCCTTGTGCTTTTAATTGTCTAGCATTGGTCAAAATGTGATTAACCCAAGGTTACCAGGATTTTTTTTATAAATGGAGGCATTCTTCAGGTACATTTTTTGTGTGTGTCCACTTTGCAAATAAAACTAAATATTTCATTCACAGGTCATGTTGGTGGTCTATCTATTATCATCTTCTTTGACAAAAATGAAACCTTGTAATATAGTGAGTTTCCTGACACTGAAGACAGTCATGTAAAATGCAGATGACAATTAGTTTTGGGCTTGTGTAGCAAATGTTTCTTTATTGTGTCAGAGCTCAACTATATCTGAGCCAAATTTAATGGTAACCCATGAATTTGAAGAATAAGACACAAGATGGGCTGACTGACATGTGAACTAAAACTGCTGTCATTGAGCACGTGGGAAGGAGGGAATCAGTGTTACAGAGTAAAAATTTGGTAATAGGGAAAATTTAATAATCTTTAAGGCCCCCTCCTATTATTTTCTATAAGTTACATCTCAAAATACAGGTCAAGTCACTGGCACTTGGAATTCCACTAGAAGGCTCTAAACTGAATTGTGTCCTCCCTTCCCCTCAATTTCAAGTTTGGTAAAAATCCTTTAAAAACACAAGCCAAGAAGCTGGCTGCTGGACCAGATCACAGTTGGTACAGGCTTATCTAAAGATGAGGCAGTATCGATGCCAGACAAAGCCTAGATCTGTGCGGATTGCTTTAAAAAGGTGATAGCATCATCCAGAGCACAAGTTAAGTGACAGGGCTGATGTCCAGGATTAAGAGGTAAGACAGTGAATTCACCTCTGGCCATCTGAATCCAATGGAAGTTCAGGCAGAGAAGGCCAGCACCATGGACAGCTCTTCAGTGCTGTGGTGCAAATATAAAGCCCAGAGCTTGGCATGGAAAAACTGAGTTCAGGTTCTAGTTCCATCTCTTCCTAGCTAAAGATGTCTACTATGGACAAGTAATTTACTTTATGCAATATAGTAATGTCTGTTCTATATAGTTCTCATGGTACACATTAAATTGCAAGTGAAAGCATATGTCAGTGATACCTTTCACTTTGAATCATTGACCTATATATACCTAAGATTTTATTATGTTAATGAAAATTGCTATTTTCTTCTCAAAGTTTAAAACAAAAATTAAATAAATTGATGAGAGAAACCAGGATACCATAAGCATATATGCACTTTATTGGCGAAAGAAGGGAATTAGGATTTAGTGTACACTGTATAGGTTCAGACACAGGTTCTTAACAGTTATCATGCCACTTACTTTTCATAACCGCTCTGTAACTAGCAAGGAATAGAGGAACTATATTCCTCCTGTTACTACTGATGGGTGAATTGGATGACATCTACAATTCAAGGCCGGAGTGGTGATAGAACTTTGACTCTCATATTTCCCAAGGGTGGTTTCTTTTGAAGGTTTTTCTGATGGCAAGAAGCAGGAGTAAAGGACAGAGAGAAAGAGAGGATAAAGAATACAATTCAGGCCCCGACAAGGGGACATCAGAGTGTCCATGCTCAGAGATAGAGTCAGGTATCCAGGGGCCCCTTTAGAGGGAGGTGAACCAAGCTCACTGGGATGACCCAGGTTGTTGCCGAGACCATTGCCTGTTCGCCATAAGGGGGAATCCTATGCAAAGACCCTCAACCCAACTGCTATTGAAGTAAATTAGAAATCATGCTTTGATATCTGTGTGTGATAACTTTATGTAATACAGTCACATCTTAGGAGAAAGCATGTATCTTTACATTTAGGGTATTGTAAAGGGAATGAAAGTCTCGTGTCATTAATATTCAGTATTTCTATCTTTGATGAAATCAAAGTACCTTTCATGTAATCTGCTCATACATTTTTACTAGACTTAATTTAAATCATTATTTCAGAATAAAATAGGATATCTAATTTTTTATTAATATCCTTTTACATGCAGAAAACGACAATTTGCATGTGTTAATTGATAAATATTAATATGCAGTATTTGATAATGGGAAATGATTGAGCATCTTTCCATATAGCCTGTTGTATATATAAGGATGTAGACAACTTTATGAGACTGGGAGCTTCATAAGACTACTATTCAAGTCCTTTTATCTGAAGATAAGCTGGGCTGAGTTTATTTTTCCTCTTAACAGTTTGATAGATGTTTGTGATTATCTGTTCAATAGCCCATTGAGGAATAGGTTGAAGAAGTAGCAATTTTCTACCTAGATAGCGTTTTAGATCCATTATCAGAGGGAAATGATTATTCTGTGATGCTGTTGTCCCTTAGAACTCTCAAGAGGAAAATGTTAGTGATTAGGTAGTTATATAATGATTTATATAATAGAAAGAGCGCTGGGGTTGAAATCAGAAGTTTGAATTCTTGCTTTGATACTCTCCAGGTACATGGCCTTTGGTAAGTTGTTTAAACCCTCTAAGCCACACACAGTTTGCTCCTCTGAAAATGGCAGTCTCCACCTAAGTCAGAGAATGGTTATGAGATTGCATTAGATGATGTATGAAAGTGCTTAAAGTGTTTAACACATCATCTTTTTTAAAGAAACAATTTATAGTAATTCCCCTTTTCTTATTTTCTACAGAAAGTGAGTGAGAAGGTTGGGGGAGCTGAAGGAACCAAGCTAGACGATGACTTCAAAGAGATGGAGAGGGTAAGTCTTCACCTCCTACCATTCTTTTTAGCATAAGATTGTCCGCCATCATAAGGGGACAAGAGAAAAAGGGAAACTGTTTGCCACTGGTATCTGAGAATATATTTTATTATTTTTAAAAATTCTCTCCTTTTAGTGTATGTTTTGAAACAGAAAAATGTAAAATGTCCTGCCTTTATACTATCCCGAGAACAAAACATCAGTGAAGGTGAAATGTCATACTGCACTTTTCCAAATAAGGACCCTATGGATCTGGTGTTTGAATTAGGATAAGGTGGGAAGAAAAGAGGAGAAGGTGGAGAATGATGTCCCAAATGTTTTCAGGAGAGTTTGAGTCATTCTCTGGCTTTAGAGAACTTCCCTGGTTGGCCAGTGTGAACTAGAGGCAAACCAGGCAGTTATTGAGTCTTCCGACTTTGGCCCAAACTCCGCTTCTGCCATTTGTTGCAAAAATCCATTTTATTGCTCAGAGCCTCTATTTTTTTTTTTTATAAATGTAAAATGAAAATACTAATACCCACTTGGGGGATTTTTATTAAGGATTAGAAATAATATAAATCATTTAGCATTCTGCCCAAAAGACAGCAGATTCTCAACAAGTGAAGGTGGAGGTAGTGAACAAAATTTCTCATTGCATTTCTTTTTAGACATAAGCCTTATTTTCTCTTTCACTTTAAGGCTGTTCACAGCAAGTGATATTTAGGCTTATGATGAAATGTGTGTATAGAATTGTGCAAATAAATATTTTAGTTAAGTTGCTGGTGGATAATGGATAAGGGAGTACAAATCCTGTACTTGAGCAGAAGAGGGTGTCGCAAGCCTGTGCTGTACCTAGAAACCACATTTAAGCATTATTAAGAATGTTGGTTTTGTACGTTATTTTAACAAAGCAATTATTTTCTTTATATTCTAATTTTGACTCTACCAAAAATTTTTTAGGGGCATAATATTTTTTTCTTAGTCCACAATCAGTTCCAGGTGTTGTCTCAGTTTTGCTATTTTTGCTATGTTTGTGCAAAGGGTCAAACAAGGAAAATTCCTAGATGCCTTCTGCCTTGTCCTTTTCATTTTTTCTGCTGATGAGTTTGTTGATGAATTCAACAAATATTTGCCGTGTGCCTCCTATGAGCTAGGCAGGTAGGATATAGACAAGGCTCCTGAGTGTATGAAGTTCATAGTCTAGTGAGGAAGACAAACTTGGGACAAGTAATGACCAGAGGAACAAGGTTCATGAAACATGGTGCTAGAGAACCCTGTCACAGAGGAAGCTCACTGGCAGATGGTCAGGGAAGCCCTCCCTGATAGTTAAGTGAAGGTGTGTAAGAATTAGCAGCACCTAGTATGTTTCTGGTAAGGAAACAGCATGCAGGCAGGAAAGAAGAGAACATTTGAGTTACTGAAAAAAAACATGAGTTGCCAAGAGGCGGGAGTCTTGTGAAATGAGACTGCGAAGTGTTGACCCAGCTGGTCATTCTCGCTAAAATCTCGAGATTGGCCTTACTAATGGACACCCACTGGTGATATTTTTTACAAGAGTCCTAGGTCCCAGCCAAAAGTCTAGGCAGCCAGCCTGTTATAGCTAATGCCTGGCAGCTACTTGCCCTGACTGAAGTCTGCATTGGTCCTTGTTTCTCATCTCTGGATAGTTCTAAGTACTACCTGATCTTCAACTACAGCTGGTAGCCACTCATATTCATACTTCTGGAAATAGTATTTCACATCTTCTGCAGCATCCAAGTCTCCAAATACTGAGACACATTCCCAGAATGACTTGGCTCTGACTCCTCCACTCCTTGTAATATTGGAGTTCTCACCCCTCATGATTAATGGCCCTTTGGGTTTGTTCATTTGCACTGGACTCTGTCTATACCCAGTCTTCCTTGCGTCCCCTTATCCTTTGATGCTGCTCCATCCCCCCATCCCCAAGAGAACATTTATAGTATGCCACGTGGCCAGAGTTGTGTGGTTAATGACAGATTAGACAAGTATTTAGGAATTTGTAACTAAGTACCAGGAATCAGAATTTGGCTCCTGCTTTTAGCATCTGTCAGGACTAAAGGGAATAATCTACATAGCTCACTGTCTAAGTTAAGGCAAACTAACTTTCTGTTTCTTAAATGAGACTAAAAAGAATAGGAAATTTGGAGAACTGAGTAGTCGATCACTGAGCAACTAATTAGACCTTTGGAGGCTTATTTTGCTATGAAATGTGTGGCAGTCCTGCAAACTAATTAAAGTAAAAGAGGCTCTTTCAAGGATTTCATTATGTGTTAGGCAAATACCAACAGAAATTCCTCTGAGTCTGAAAGTAAAGTATAAAGTTTATTTCTCTTAGTTCATAGAAAAGTTTCTGAAGCTTTGATTTCAAAATCTAGATATTTCTGCAATAAAGTAAACTACTGATTGTTTCAGGAATAATACACTCATGATTCTGTGTGTGAGTTTATACCTAAGTCAATTGAGAGATTACGATTTCACTGCAGTGTAGAAATTGTTTTATTTCACACATTTTTTGTTACTGGCTCTATTGCAGATTTTGTACTCTGTATTCATGCTAAATCTACATTAATAGTGTAGATTTCTACACTATTTCTACATTAATAGTGTAAGATTTCTGCGGTAATTAAAAAGCATTAGGCTTTGGATTCAGCCTCTGAAATCTTTTCTCTCCTGTTATTTATTCATAAAAAGATTTTAGCTCAGTGTTCCCAGGCCTACTGAACAATCAACTTTCCATAGTTGGTTTTCTGTTGATCAAGCATTTGGGGTAGAGAGACTTTTTGTTTAGTTGTATTCTCAGAAGTACAATTAGATAACAAAATAAATAAACAAGTTTGCATCAAGCAGTACTACTGGGAGAGAGAAGTGGGTTTTCATAGAGGTATTTCTCTAATCAGCTTTCCTAGCACTGTCATGCCTTGATGCAGTAAAATCCCCCTGCAGCCTCCTTCCCTGACTGGGCGGATCCTAAGGCTGTGTTGTCTCTGTAGGATCCCTGCCCACAGTGATTTCTCTCTTTCTCTTAAATGCATTGCAGGGAATTGTTTCTGTTTTAGTTTTAAATAGTGTCTGTTGCTTACAAACTTTTTAAAATACAGGCTGAATTTCTTACTATGGTGCGGACATTGAGTGGAATTGTTCTTTGAGGAGCTGCACATTTTTATGTGAAGAGGAAGTTCAGAATTTGAGGGACCTCTGGTTCCTTCTTAAATTTCCGTCAGTTTCAGCAGTGATTCTGTGTGTGTGTGTGTGTGTGTGTGTGTGTGTGTATTACATTCATTAATTTACCTGGAAAATCTATAAATGCCTTCATGTGGCAGGCATTGTGCTATGAGACACCAGGAATACAAAGATGATTAAGGCACTGGCCCTGCATACAAGGGGCTTCCAGTTTTGATGGAAAAAAAAAATAGGCACATAAATCACGAGCGTACAGGACATGGTTCTTGGTGCCCTGGGGTGGATTCCCATAGAAGACCTAGGAGAGATGTTTAACTCAGGCTGGGTAGATCAGTGGAAGCTTTGTAGGAGGGAGAGTGCCTGAGCTAAATCCTGAAATTTTCTCTTGGCCATATATATATGGGTAATGCAGAATTCCAAGCCAAGGGGTATAGTATCTTTTTGGAAGCCTGAAAAGTGTCCTGGGAACCCTCTTCTGTTGAAACCAGAAGGAATCCTAGGGTTGGAAACATGGCTATGTTTCCTTTAATAAAAATGGAATTCTTTTTAAGGTGAAACCTCAAGTTTTAAGAAGAGCAAGATATTGAGAAGGAACAGAAAGAATTCCATTCCATGTGAGAGTGAGAAAGAAGATTGTTGGCATAGTGGGGTGTGGGGAGAAGCCAATAGGAAGATGTCCATGGTCATTATCATCTTGCACTCAGTGGCCGGGTACAGAGGGGTTCAATCTACTACCCCAGTGGCAGAACTAGAATGAATGAGTAGAAACTATGGGAAGATAGATTCTGGCTCAATATAAGAAAAAAATTTTCAGCTGTTAGAGCTGTTTGAAAAAAAATAAAAGCCTCAGGAATTATTGGATTCCCTGTCACTGCTCACATTCAAAGCGAGGCTGAACCCACAGTTCCCAGCTGTCATGTAAAGTACACTAGTCATCTCTTGTAAGGTTCATGGTTAGTAGTTTGTTACTAATAATGCCACTTTTTAATGATGTCACTCTTACTGGATTCCAGTGATCTCTCTCAAATGGGAGAGATAGGAGTAAAGTTCCAGCCAGCATGGTCAGAGTGACACATATCCCTGGGTGCACCATGGATGTCTGCCATGCCCACAGATGGTGTGGCAGGAGAGGAGGAGGTGGGATCGCTGTTCTAAGACACCCACCTGCCGGTATGCAGTTGTAAGAAGGGCCAGGGCCCCAAACAAGATGAGCTTTAAAGAGATCTTTCTGCTTAGCCTGAAATTCAGTGATGGCAAGCTTGCTCTAAGTTACATGTTTACAGTATATTTGCAAGCTTATTAAAGAAAACGGCTAAGATTAGCAAAAAAATACACTGGGGCGATCTTAGCCTGATATCCTGTTTATTTTTGTTTTTTTTTTAACACAGATGGCTAGTGAGCCTTTCTGAACACATAAGGTGACTGTTGTAAAGCAAGGCAGTTTGGGGACAGGTGTGTTAACTCTTCTGATTCTGTCAGGAGCTACTAAAAACATCTTGGACCAGCCTGTACCTCACTGCCAGTCAGACTTTCCCAGGAAAATGTTCATCATGTCTCTGTGACTGCTTATTTAGCTGTTCTTGTTCAGAGTTCTCTTCCTTAAAGTGGGTGTGCGTGCATTATTAATACTTGCATTTTCTAAACTTTAGTGATAGAAAAAGTAAAATTTGAAAAGATTTTAGTGTTTTATATGAAATCTTCACATTTCTTTTATGTAACTACTTTGAGTTACCCCTTGTCCAAGTGGGTGCTTAGTTCAGCTATTTATTAATAATCATTAAACCCACAGACTATGTGTGCTTCATTTAAGGCATGTAATATTTTCTTAAAGTCTGCTCTGCTTCTCTATGACAGTGTCTGATATAATGTGGTATCTGACGGCATGAAGTCATACCTTTCAGGTCTTCTGTCGCTCCACAAAGAATGTCCTGTTGTTCATGAGTGCTTCTCTAGGGAGGAAAGGTAATATTCAGATGCCTCTCAATAGTAACTCCATTCCAGTCAATTCAGTGCCATTTTCTTCTCTAGGATCTTGTCTCTAAGGACTGAGACAGCTGGTGAAATGGCCAGCATCACCCACAGCTTCAGCACGGTATACCTTAGTGAAACCAGCACCTAGCACAGGCATCGGCAAGTTTTTTTTGTAAGGATTTTAGATTTTGGGGGGCTAAAGGGCCCATGTGGTTTCTGTTTCAATTTCTTGCCAATGCTGTTGAAACACAAAAGCATTGACAGTATTTAAATGAATGAATGTGGCTGTATTCTAATAAAACCTTATCTAAGGATGCTGAAATTTGAATTTCTTATAATTATGTGCAGTGAAATAGTCTCATTTTGAATATTTTTAACCATTTAAAAATGTAGAAACAGATAGTGGTCTGAATTTGGCCCACTGGCCATAGTTTGCCAACCCCTGACTTAACATGAAGAAGAAAAATGTTACAGTAAGTAAAAAAGGGTTAAGAGTGCTATTTTCCTCCCTACTCAAAGTTTTAAATTACAAACTGGACAATGGAAAAAGAACTCCCTGATGTCAAAGTATTAAGAGTTGCTAAAATCTTGGTATTGAGAAAATTCAAGGAAAAAACCCCAAAGAATACATGTCTACATATTTGTTTTCAGAAAAAAAATCTAATTCCACACAGTTTTTATTTCCTAAAAACATGCCTGTATTTGTGTGTTTGTATATGTATGTACATATATACATGTATACATACATGTATACATATATATGTGTACATGTATGTATATGTATATACAGTTTCACCTCCTTTAAACTGCCTTCCCTCATGGCTCCCCACCCCAGTGCCAAGCAAGGTTAGTCGAAGATGCAGGCTCAGGAGTTTACAGGAATGGAAGTTGTATGTAGGGCACATCAAAACTTACTTTCAAGTAGGAATTGGAAATGTGGGGCATTGAGAAAATAAACAGGTATATGTCATAACTTCAGTTAAACTGTGGGAATAAGCTCTTGATGGTTATAATAAATTATTTAGGTGAAAATATTCATGCTAACTTTATGAGGCCTGTTAATAAGAGAGTATGTTCTTGAATATTGCCAGTTTAGGTCTATAAATAAGTCTCCTAGCAAGTTCCTAACAAGGTACCTTCACAATTCTCACAGGATTATGGTGCTCAGCTTGGCTGTGGCTGACACTCTATAGTTTAGTGAAAGAGTCCTGGGCATTATTATTGAGGAAAAAGATAGAGAAAAGTTAGAAATTGGTCAGCCTCCTACTGGCAGGTACCTTCAGAATAGCAAGCAGTTGTTGGACAGTTCAGTCCCTCTGGTATTCTGTTTTAGAAAGCGTCGTCTGATTCATGACCTTGGGAACCTACTATTCTTCCCATGACGACACCAGTCATGTGACCTCAGGGAGCTCATCTGCCTTCTCTAAGCCTCAGACTTGGACATTTAATAAATTAAAGCATTGGACTGAATGTTCTACTGGTTTCTTCTTACATTCATTAACTCTATCAGGTACTTATCCATCAGAGTGCACTCAGGGGCGAGGGCCCAGTGAATGAATTTGCCAGAAGCTGTTCCCTCTTTGGTATATGTCCTGATGATGAAATATACAAATAACTATATTGAATAAAGTTGTTTTCAGAGGTGGATTTTAAGTGAAGGTTATTTTATACTCTGATCAAAGGAGTTTACATAGGACTTGTCCTGTAATGATGCCTAGATTAGGTAACCAAAAGTGGGAAAAGAGCCTGCCTCAGTGGGCACAGAGTCTGAAAAGGCCTGGGTGGCATGAGCTCCTTCCTGGGAGACTTTGGGGACACTGTGCTAGTTTTTATTTCTACTTCCTTTCTAAGACGGACTCCTACTCTGGAAATGAAATGTAATACTTTAGTGTTAGTGTCTCCAGGGTCTCTCTGCATCCCCTTAGACCACTGGCTTCAGCCAAGCTAGTGGCTGTATTTAGAGAGCCTGAGTAGTTACGCTCTGTATTTACAGAGCTCAGTGGGAAAGGGGGGTTCTGTATCTGAAATGAGGACTAGTTTTCACAGCCTTCCTCACTGATCTCCCTGTGGTCCAGACAAGACATGCACTGCCGGCACCAAGCCTCTGTGGAGAGGCCTGTGCACCTGTGAGGGTGTGGGGTCCAGCAAGTTGCATGGGAGAAGCCCCCTTTTCATAGTGTCCCAGGGTAGACTATTCTTGTATATGAAACTTACACAGACTTTGAAGACTTTCAAAACAAAAACGTAAGATAGGTTAGCAGGTGCTTTCCTCCTGACCCTGTGTGTTGGGAGATGCCCTTGTTGCCTATCTGTTTTTTAAAATTTATTTTTCCCCAGCATATTAGTCTCTCTCTAGCTCAGTCACCCAGGCTGAAGTGCAGAGGCATGATCATAGCTCACTGCAGACTTGAACTCCTGGGCTCAAATGATCCTCCCACCTCAGGCTCCTGAGCAGCTGGGACTGTAGGCATGCGCCACCATGCCCAGCTGACTTTTTAAAAAAATTTTTTAAAGACAGGGTCTCATTATCGGCTAGTATTGTTGCCTTTTTCTGAGGAGCTTTTGCTTTGAAGAAGTATAAGGTAGTGGTTAAGAATACAGACCCTGGAGCCGGAATTAGGCAAGTTTCTTAACCCCTCTGTATCTGTTTCCTCATCTATTAATACATTATAATGTTTGTGGGCATTAAATGTGTAAAGATATCTATAGCCCTTAGAACAGTTTCTGACAGATAGAAAACACCTTATGATATTGATGGTTATGATTATTAAGGATAGAGATGGGGGAAAGTTGGAAATTGGTCAGCCTTCTAGCAGCAGGTAGCATTAAGATATCAAATGGTCATTGGATAGTTGAATTCTTGTGGTACTTTTTCTTAGAAACCTTGTCTTCTGGAATTTTTTTTCTTCCCATCACTTCTGGAATTTTTTTTTCTTCCCATCATAGCCACACAGGGTGTTTGCATACATTTGACATCTAATTCCATAATCTCTTGTCATATAGTCATTAGAAGATCTGCATTTGTCCTTCCATCACACAAGGACAATGGAGTTTCAGTGTCTTTGTTCTGTACACACCTTTGAATCCATTTCCCTGGCATAAAACATTCCATGACTGAATGCATAGTAATTGATTGATATTTTGCTAATACTACCAAGGCCTTCATGTATGGCTGTACGAGTTGTGTACTGCACAACTCCAGGGGGCCACTATTCACTCCAAAACTATTCACTACCTAGTACATACTCAAATCTAAAACATTTTCAAATTTTGAATCAGTCACAAGGACATGGTATAGGAGTTTTATGGGGGCAGGCACATTTGTAATAGGATTCTTTTGAAGGTAATTTTATACCAGATAACCTCTCAGGAAAAACATATGTTTTCCTCTGTTGCTTCTAGTAGTATCAGACACACAGAGTAATATGATTGCCATGGAATGTGAAATTATAAAGTATTGAAAAACAACCGAAATATGAAATCTTTTAATGGGGAGATTATGGAAAGGCAGAGGGCTTACTGCAAAGCTAACTTATGTGTAGATACAGCAGGTTATGGAAAAGTTTCTTAGATTTGAGGTTGAGAAGCCCTTGAACTCCAATAAGAAAACAAACAAAAAACTTCCCCTTGGCTTGACTGATACCTAAATCTCCACATTAAAAATTGTTTCCACTTATACCTATGTCAAATATTACATGCACATGCCTTGCATAGGAGAATGCATTTATTCTCACTAGTCATTTACCCTGTGGAGTGAATGAGTGGACCATGTGGACTAACTGCACTGAGTAGCTTTTGCAGCCTCTGCATGTGGGGAGGGGCCTGACAGAGGGGAGGGGATATTGGGGGACATTGAAGGCAAGCACTGACCATTCCAAATGTTGTGAGGATAGAGTCTAGCACCAAAATTTTTGTTTAGAATTAATCAAAAGTTCAAGGACCTACTGGAAGTGTTTGCTCAAGACTTCATATCCTTAGGATGTTATTGGAAGTTAAATAAAAGTTTTCCTTTTCTTAGTTGAATGAACAGAGTTGATGTCACATTATTCTTTCTTTGTCACAGTGGAACCTGCCACCATGCCTATGCCACAGTAGGCATCCAGAATACCTCTGGGACAAAATATGTCTCATTATATCCATCTTATTTTTTGCCAGAAGATAATGAAATATATTTTGAAACAAATTTTAGGAAATTACCAGCTTCCTTTTTGGATAAATAGGCTTTCCAAATCTTGATAGAACTCTGCCGAACACAGTGTCACAATTACTTCTGCACTCCCTGGCGTCCCTCACATCCTGCGAGACTTGTCATTACTCTGTTGCACCTCCGGTGCTTGTACTTGAGCAAAAACTGAAGTTCTAATGCTGATAATTTTTGTCATTTATTTTCTCATTTCAGAAAGTGGATGTCACCAGCAGAGCTGTGATTGAAATAATGACTAAAACAATTGAATACCTTCAACCCAATCCGGGTAAGGGATCATATTACCTGTTCAAAGTATTCCTTCATGTAACTTTTGGTTTCTCTTTGGTAGATGTTTTAAGTTCTATTTTCTAGACATTTTAAGTTCTATCTACTTACCTGGACATTCCTTGACTTCAGATAACGGCACTTTGGAGAGAGGGGGGCTTTGTAAAGTTCACATTGAAGTAACTGGAGGATCTATGGTATTTTATCCAACTGTGGAGTGTTTAACAAACAATACATGTGGACAGCTTGGGTGTTACATAATATCAGAGGAGCTATGCCTAGAAGATATTATCAATTGGCCTTTAATTTTCAAGAGATAGTAAAAAAAGAAGTTGGGATAGTTTTAGACAATATACACAATAATTCCCACAGATGTAAAAAAGTAAGAACATGAATAGTTCTGTAAAAAACAGAGGATTTCTGTTCATATGACATCACTGAAGTCTTTGAGGGTTGTTCTTGATTCTGGTTCTTCTTCAAGCACCTCACAGATCAGTATTTGTTCCTGCTAACCTGTTACACTATAGGAGAAAGGAGTTGAAATAGAGACCTATGCCTTGATAAGAGAACCAAATAGAATTGGAGCAAATCTCTGTGGGCACCAGGTATAGCAGAGCAAAACAGCCTACCTCATAGACCTCCTCCTTGTGCTTCCTGTGTATCAGGAAGCAATCTGCAGAAACTTGAAACACGGCTGGTTGTATTTGACTGAGACGTATGAATATTTGGAAAACTTAGTCTTCAGACTCGTTTCTTTGGGAGTTCTAGGTTGGAGTTCTATGTCTTTTATGGTCATAGGAAAGAGGTCTAGGTAACTGCTTCAGTCCCAGTGGGTTTGGATACTGAGCATTAGTGGGCAAGAGATAAGAAAAGAGGAGTATGTGGGATAAGAGGAAGCAGGTGGGCGCAGTGGTGCGTGCTGGCCAGCTGTCTGTTGCCTCTGCTGCAGCTTTCCTTCTGTCTTTATTTACCTGTGACCAACACAGCTGCTACTCTAAAGATGAATAAACTATGTGGGAATAACATTCTGAATTTTTTTCTTCTTAAAACACATTAGAGATGAGACTATGTGAGGGAGGAAAATATCAAAGAAAATAAGGTAAGCTATAGGAACCAAGAATTTAACTGGCAGTGGAATAGGTAGGTTTTCAAATGCTTAGAAAATTAGTCAAAGCAGCAAACATCAAGTTTCTAATTTTTACCCAGAACTTTCTTGGTAACCTTTATATTCCACAGAGATGCAAAGATCTCCTGGATGCACATTTATTTCTTAGTATTTAAACAACTGTAATAGTTCAAGTCAGTGCTGATTCTGAATAAGCAAGATCTGGCTTGGGTCAGGATGGGACTGACTGATGCCAAGTCACAAATTTATGTGGACCGGCCAGCAGGATCAGTGGAGATTGATGTTTTGTGGGTACTTTGGAAGTCCTCCCTATTAATACTCGAGCGTGCTTGTTGGCTTTCAGATCTTGTGGTTGTAGAGCTTACATATCTTTTATGTTCTTAAAACTCAGTTCCTATTGAAATGGCGACCACAGATATTTTAATTAATTTTCAAAGTCTGTGGATATGCTCTGTGAAGGCCTCGAATCCACTCTTGCCCACCTTCAGAGTGATATTTTAAAAGGGAAATCGCATCATGTTATTATCTTGCATAAAACCCTTCAGTAGCTATTTGTGCTTTCAGGATGACATTTCACATGTTCAATGTGGTTTACAGGGCCCTCTGTGCAGGGCTACTCTGTCCTTTCCCCTGCACCTTGCTAGGCCAGTGTGAAGGTCACTTGGAAGCCGCCTTTGGCTCCTGAACGCATTAGGTTATCCTGCAAGTCTCCCTCTCATGGTCCCATGCTTGTTGAAATCGTGTAACGTTTGTGGCTTTGTCTTCCCTGGGAGGACAGGGCTGTGCCGGTCTCATTCGCTGCTGCATCCCCAGTCCCCGGCTCAGTCCAGGCAGCCAGTAGGCACTTGAATATTTGAATAAGTGAATTATAAAGCACAGTTGATAGGCAGTGGCTGATGGAATAAAACTGCTGTAATACAAAGGATAGAAGGAAACATATTGGCTTAAACCATCAGATCCTCCCATGTAACCAGCATTTATCACATGTGTTTATGGTTATGCAAAGACCAGGCTAAGATGCTCTGGGGTAGAAATAAGACCAAGTTGGGGCTCCTGCCCTCTGGAACTGCACGGTCTAACTGCATAGGTTACACATACTCCAGGGAGAGTAGGCCAGAAGACTTCACAGCAAATTCCTTCTGGAAATGCCAGCTGATTTGAGGAGGTGGGGAAGGGTGATTGAGGTCGCAAGCCTAAAGGTCTGCTCTGCAAAGTGAGGCTTTCCAGAACGTGGAATGGCTATGACGTCTTCCAGCTTGGACTGTGAAATTGTTCTGACAGGAGCAGCCTTGACCAGTACAGATTTATAAGCTGCTTAAATAGGAAATAATTTGAATATGAAAAGTACTGTGCACGAATTTCTTTCTACTGGTTAAAAGCCCCTGTTCTCAGGGTATTTAGGAGCAAAGATCATCAGAGAAGATATAAATCAATTCTGTTATTGAAGTATTCTGATGCATTATGAGGAAGAAAAAGGCACTAAGTCAGTGTTGTCCACTATAAATATGATGCAAACCACGTGTCATTTTGAATTTTCCAGGAGCCACATTAAAAAAGTAAAAAGAAAGGTGAAATTGATTTTAAAAATATTTTTTATTTAACCTAGTATATCCAAAATATTAATCAGTACTGAAAATTATTGAAACATTATACATTTTTTCTCTACGTTTTGAAATTTGGCGTGTGTTTTATACTTACAGCACACCTTAATTTGAACTAGCCACATATCAAGTGCCCAGTAGCTCCCTGTGGCCAGTGGTTCCCATAATAGACAACACAACACTGGAGAGTTTGCCCTTTAAACTATTCTAAGATGAAACTATAATATTTGATACATATTTAATGTTTAGCTCCTTGGTGTTCATCTATATTAGTGTTTTTCTTTTCAATAGAGAAATGGGCTCTTGATTTAGGATCAGATTATCTTTAAATTTGGTGCTTTTTTTGTTGTTTTTTTTTTTTAATCTTCTCAGAATCTGTTTCATGACACTGTTGTGAAGATGTTTCCCTCAAATGGAGTAACAGACATGGCCAAATTAAACTGTGTGTCCTTTCTAGCCTTGGCAGACTTGTTAAGACAGAGGCGTTTACAGTTTGCACTGAGAAGTTAATCTGACCCTGATGTCATAATCCAGTACAAAAGTCCGAGCTGCTTAGATAAAAAGCAGTTTGAACGTGAAAAACACTGCGCGCGGCACGGGTGTGGTTCCCTATGGAAATGCTTGTCCCTTGAATGCCCTCGTGGTCTAGCTTTTCCCAGGGAAGCACGCCTGAGATTGGGGTATTAAATTGGGGTCATTAGATGTCTATGCAGAATTTTTTAATAATTACTTCAGATCTCATTTGTGGAATGTTGCCTGTGGAAATAAAAGTTAGCTGGATTAGTTTTGAAATGTCTCATTAGTTTCTGCAAAGATACTGCATCAAAATTAGTATACTTCCTTCTCACAGACTGCCCTCTTAATCATCTCCTTCCAAAGAAGAATAAATACAGTGATTATAAGGTATTTTGTGGTAGTGGAACTGAAAATTAATACATGTATTAATACGTGGCAATTATGTACCCAAATCCTTTCACAACAGACTGAATGAGCTACCTTTCCTGGAGGCAGGGGGAGTTAGTTGTATTCATCTTTGTGTCTTTCAGGGCCCTGAGCGTAGTGCCTGGCGCCTTGCCCCTAGTATGTCTGCCGAGCAGGTGCGGGAATGAATATATCCATCCTTCACTTAAAGAATAGGGATGTGTACTGACTCTAGCAGCCAGAGCTTTTACTTTTCCAAATCCTGACGCTGAAAAATAATTGAAATGCATAAAGGACAGATTACAAATGCGGTTGTGAGGAAAATGTCGTTACACTTCACAGAAATAGGATCTTTTAAGGATAAACATATTAAAGAGGAAAGTGTAAGCCAGGCAGTAGGTGGTATAATTCATGTACAGTATGTATATTTGAGGCAGTATAAGTGATCCAGAGTTTTAAGTCAGTTGGAACTGATGGATTAGTGATATTCATTCCTATGTCTCTAAAGACTGCAAAAGAATACTAAAGCCAGGCCTTATTTAAAATAATTATCATAACAAATAATATGCATTTAAAATATGTGTGTGGACATATATGGAAAATTGAGCTAATGGAGTCTCACTTGGATAGTCCTGAGGTATTGATATACTACAGAGTATACATCCTCAGCCTGACCTTTAAGATCAGCCTGTGGCGGCCCCTGTACTTGTTGTCTCCATATTGGATTTCTCCAGTGCCCCAGGCTCTTTCCTGCATGAGGATTTTGCAGTGGCTGCTCCCTCTTGCTGGATTGCCCCACCTGCCCCTGATCTGACACCTGTTTTCTTACCATCCTTTCTCTCTCAGCTTAAATATCTCCTCCTCTGAGAGGCATCTCCTGGGCCCCCTGTCTATCCGGTGCGCTCTAGTTTTGCATTCTCATGACACCTTCATGTCACATGAATCCCCATCCACAAATCTCTCGAGTGGTTCCTCAGAAGAAAATTAAAAGTACTTACTGTGGGTTACGAGGTCCTGAGGATCTGACCGCGTGTCCTGTGTTCCCAGCCATCTCCGTCTTGTGTCCTCTGTGCCAGCCTCGCTAGCTGTCCTCAAACCCATAGTCACCTCCTTCACCAGGCCTCGCCAGCCCTCTGAACCACGTCCTCTCCCGGTCTTCTCACAGCTTCACTCGGGTCTCTGCTCGAATGTCAGTGGATTTGTGCGGCTTTCCTGACCATCTTGTTTAAGACACCGACCCTTATCACTCCCTACACCCTTCTCCTGGTTTATTTTTTTTCATAGCACTCAGACCTTTACTGTATGTTTACTTGTTGAAGTGCTGCTTGTCTCTGCCACCACAGTGCAGTGGCC